GTAAGAAGTGCAACTTGACTAGCGATTAGCGTAGTACAAGATGCATGCGCCGGGTCCCTATGATACAGCACGACACCATTTGTGCACGTGCTTTCACTTACCGTTAGTACTGACTGCCGTGCCGGTGTAGCATGAATTTAGGTTTTTTGAAATACGGACTCATTGGTGGTATTGCGCATGCTTATGCATAGATAATTAGGAGAGGGACTGGTCACGTGAAAGGGTTTAACCAATAAAAGGGAAAAAGAGTCCGATTTTCATACGAGTCTGATTTTCATATGACACCGGTCGTCGTACGCATGCCTAGCCGAGTAAGCCGACCACGCTGCGCGCGCTGCATGCATGCTACAACCAGTGCTGCAGTCAGTGTGGTCCACCTGGGCTGAGGTGACGGCAGGATGGACTCACTGAAGAATACCCAGCGGGGAACTCTTGGAAGTTCGCCGACTTTGTCATCGATGTCTTTAAACTCTTTATTAATCACCTTACGTTTCTTTTATTTCATAAACTCAGGTGCTGTATATAATAGACATTGAATTTGCAATTCCTATATTTTACTGACAAATCGACCATTTGCAAATCGGTATACCTGCACAGAAAGCATTACAGAACACAATGGGGTGTTTAGAAACGAAAGCACTTACTTCCGGGTTGGCGTTATAAATCAAAACACTTACTTCCGGGGGGGTTTTTTTTGGGGGGGGGTTACGGGTACCCGGGTACCCGACCTTGACCGGGAAAGGGTACCCGGTTCCAGTCAAAACCGTAAACAGACAGGCCTATTTCAGACCTGAATCTAATAATATTGTCCTTTGTACCTGACATATACCGGTTTACAATACACTGTCTTTTTAAAGCCACATCGTATATAGAACCCACACAAGTTTAAATCTCCATGCATATGGGCATGCTCTTCTTCTAAGTTCAAGCGTCAGCGGACCCAATGTAACATATTTTTAATACTAGTATGAACTTATTCGTCCATGGTAAAAAAAAAAATAGCCATAAGGAATTACTGTATAAGAGTGATAAGGGGCGACTATTTCAAATATTATTTTTTTTTCCTATAAGACACTGCTAGATTATTTTTAAAAATGAGTAATCTTTTTGAAACTACTAGTCTTTAATCATCACTGTCTTCATCGTTTTCTTCATCCTCATCTTGTTGGAACAGTCCGTCAAAAGTGTTACGGTATCTAGGCATAATTCTGTTCAGAGCTGTGTTCAATTTCATGCCCGTAATCAATTTTCGTTCGATATCTTCCACAATTTCTTGATGAGTGCCACTATCTTTCAGATATAGGTAACTTGACAAAAAGTCCTTGTATTTGTTGAAAAAGATTCGCTTGACTGCCCAAAGGGTCTTCCTGTTGGCCTTTTCCTTGGCCTGATCTTTACTCATATCCTCGTTAATGTACTTTTCATATTTGTCACTCCACATCTCCTGGGTGACTTCTATGGACTCTTTCAACCAGTCTCGATATGCGGTGTTGTCTTCCAAATCAGAACTAGACTCGTCTTCATCAGATAATTCGTCATCTTCCACCTCCGTCACGGACTCCGAGTCATCGTCTTCAAGATCTTCGTCTTCATCATACGTAGATACAGTTTCATAGTTTTCCATAGCAGGATCTTCAAATCTACGGCTTTTAGAATCAGGTTCAGAATGATCCTCCTCAACTTCATCTGTTTCAGAATCATCTACAGCATGTACATTTTCTGCATGCCTCTGTAGGTTATATCTCTGTCCGAAGCTTTTGTCACACGTGTGACAAGCATAAGGTTTGACTGCAGAAATAACATTCATGTTGCAGCTTTGAAGGTTAAGCTCCGAATGGTAAGAAACGGATAAAAAAACTTTTAATATATAACTACTTATGAGTCATTGCTCATCTGCTCAATTCATTGCTCATTTACTCATGAGTAACTGCTGTCTGCTCAACTACTCATTTCCATTGCTCATCTGCTCAATTCATTGCTCATTTACTCGTGAGTCACTGCTCATGTACTCATGAGTCACTGCTCATCTGCTCATCTACTCATTTCCATTGCTCATCTGCTCAATTCATTGCTCATTTACTCGTGAGTCACTGCTTATCTACTCATGAGTCACTGCTCATCTGCTCATCTACTCAGTTTCATTGCTCATGAGTAGATGAGCAGTGACTCACGAGTAATTGAGCAATGAATTGAGCAGATGAGCAATGACTCATAAGTAGTTATATATTAAACGTTTTTTATCCGTTTCTTACCATTCGGAGCTTAACCTTCAAAGCTGCAACATTCCTATCGGTCGAGAGCCCGTAACATGGCCGGTCTTAAACGGATGATAAAAGACATGGCTAGCTGGTCTTAAACACTTTTCCAGTGTCACATGAAATTTTGAATTTTAAAAATCCAGTGCCTCTTACTGTTTTATTGGTTGAACGTTCACAATACTGCGCAATACTACCAGCGAGTCTTTATTTTATAGTCCTAAATTCGCAACGCAATGCCCCAGTTGCATTCTGCGCGACATCACGCGCATAAAAGCAGTTGTTTACATCTTACTTGCGAGCTGGACACTCCATTATATAGCTAGATGGGTGTTTCAAAAAACGTGAAGTGAACTTGTTGAACTCGGTTTTTTTGACCGAAAAGTTTTGATTTTTTTGACCAAAAAGGTATTTATTAACGGGAATAAATATGTGCTTTGTCGGTATTAACCCTCGCCTTCGGTTCGGGTAATTATCAGCATTCAGACTCCAAGCAGTCTTAGCCTTGGTAATCAATCGGCGGCATATATCCTCGCAAGCTATGCAGTGCATGTCAAAATACAGCGCGAACAGCGACCTCATGCGGCCACTATTTTATGCAAATCAGTTGGACCTCATCGAGCGCCTTGGTTTAATCGTTGACGAAAGCTTATGTTTTTCTTTATTTTGCGCTAGATTTCTAGCGCACGACCTGATATGCGAATACAGATACACTGTAGGTGTAGGCTGGGCCGCATTTGGAGTGTCCAATCACACCTTAGTAAATCCCGACGTCATCAAATTATTTGCGGCTATTCGCCTTTTGCAGACGTGTTAGAAACCACATTTTTGTGCATTGGTGCTGTGTGCAAAAATGTGAGTCACACAACGTGTGTCTATGTATTATACCTTTCACCGCTATGATAGTTTCCACGCAACGATCGACCAATAAAAAAAAAATTTAAGGTCAGCTTATGCTATTAGCCTAATGAGCACCACCCCAAAAACCTTACATGGACGATTGAACCAAGGCACTCGGTCAGGTCAAACTGATTTGCATAAAATAGTGGCCGCATGAGGTCGCTGTTCGCACTGTATTTTTACGTGCACTGCATAGCTTGTGAGGATATATGCCACTGATTGATTACCGCGTACGTAAGGACGAATAATGACAAGCGTCTTGACCAAGGCTATTGCAGTCTTAAACAGAGTGATTAAAACCTCCAAAGCACACATTTATTCCCTTATAAATGGAGCATGGCACGCCATTCAACTTCTGATGAATGGTGTACTGCGCACAGATTTTTTTCCTGTGGGTGAGTGAAGCCACTGATAGATAATTCAGTAATTTTTCCCTCCACTTAAAAAAAAAATGGTCGTTGGAAAAATTGACATAGCAGGAACCGGGGACCTTACAATCCATAGCTCATCTCGTTAACCACTGTGGCAGCTCGAAAACTGCTGTTCTTTTAAATTCTTCAAATGTAATAAATTCACTAAATAATAACAGAGATGTGACGTCATTGTTAAAATGATTTTCCCATTTTAACAAATTCAACAATGAAGATGTACAAAGGCCTTCCTTTAAGCTAAAAGAGGAATTTGAGGAGGGTTTTAAGTAGGATAATACACTCTGAAGGGTGCCGTTCATGGAGGATTGAATGGTTGTTTTGGGCCATTTTCACCCACGATCTGCACGTTCATCGTGTATTATCCTTGACGCAATGTCTTTGGCAGCTGTCATATGTATATACACATGTGCTTGTGGTTTGATCTTTTAGTGTTATGGGGTGGGATGGGTAGGGGGAGGGTTGGAGTGTGGGAATTGGTAGGGGAGGGTGGGCTGGGTGGGGGATCTGGGGTAGACGCAGGCTAAGGATGGGGATGGGGGAGTTTGGTACATGTCATAGAGCTATTTAATATTGCTCTATGGTACATGTACACATGTGTGATGACATTTGTTGACTTTATGTTGGCATTTAGAAAAACTATGTACACCATCCTGAATCCTGGATCCCCTTATATTCACTAGATAAAACTGCTTGCCTGATTACTATCAACTGAAAGAAAAAGTTGTGCCTGTAGATGTCGAGTTATCATGTAATAATTGTTTTTATTTTCATACCTGTAAAGGGGCATGTCTTTAACTTTTAGTTTTGATTCTGCCTGGATTACTATCAGGTAATGCTGGTTAATGGCTCCATGCCTTGGAGCTGTACAAATACATGTAGCAACCCAACATTTCAGACACACCAAGACCTCTGCGCACTTTGGCGGCATGCAAGCGTTCAGGTTGTCTTTCACACTCAGGGATTTGCTTTTTAATGACTCAAAACAGCCTTACATGCCTAACTGGACGATTACTTCAACTTATAGAGGGTATTAAGGCCTGAAATCCCCGAAAATGTCATGTTTTGGATTGTTTATAAGCACTATTTGAAAGGTCTGGTTTAAAAGGAATTAAACTTAATTCTTACCGTTCCTGAGAAAAGACAACAACAAAAACCGGTATGGTATTTTTACATCGAACGTCATTGACATTTTGTGGTATACCCATTACATGTTTCAAGTCGTGTCTATTCAATGCAGCATACACATTACAAATACACAGAAATTGTTTCTTACATGTCTGCAAGATGTGAACCACTGTGCAGTGCAGTTGACATTATTTTGACTCCGGAAATTTGTTCTTGCATAAATAAACCCAAAACGCTTAGTTTTTAAAGGATGGTGGTGTGGACTTTTATATTTTACTTTAAGATACTATTCCATGTACATGTAAATATAATGTCGTTTAAAACGCATTTTGTAGCCCAATTGGGCACATTCCAGTCCGTGATGTCCCTTTTATATAAGCCGGTGTGTTTCTCTCAGGGGAAGTTTCATGAACTTTGGGTCGGAGCAGCATGACAGACCAGGTTCGCTCATCTGGAAGTTTGACAGTAGAATCCCTGTTCATCTTTGGTGACTGCTAGCTCCAGTTGCTCATGCATTGACATTTTGTATATTGTTGGTGAGTACATACACTGTTGATTGACACACTTTTGTGAGGTTATATTTTGAGGTCTAAGAGTTGCCTGTCTGAGGCTGTCTGAAACCCCTTGTTTATTATAGCTGAAGTCTACTTCACTCAACTTACCTGGGCCTAATTTCATAAAGCTGTTTACCGGTAAGCACATTTTTTCTGCTAACTATAGCAGGAAAAAATTTTGCACTTTCGTTTATGATCATCATCATGGCAGCCTCTTATGAAAGTTGCAGTGACACATCACAGAAAAGAAAGTCCAGCCCATTCAATTCAGAAATATATATGGCGCTGGCAACCTCATATTCTGAAGAAAAAAAGGTGTAATAGAGGGTGTTTTGAGAGGAGCAAAACTGACAAATATAAAATAGCAGCCTGGAAGCGAGTGAAGGGGTGTGTTAACTTGTAAGTATTTTGAGTAGCTGTTCTGCCTAATCAATATATAAATATAAGTCTAACGTTAGGCCTACATCCGTACGCGTCTGCTTCTTTTGGGAATATATATCTATGAAATTTAATGGATGCATTATTTATAATATGGCATTGTATTTTAAATATATAAGTGGTGTTTTATTTATTTGATATTGATTGAGATTGGTTGTGGGTTTGGTTTTCCTTACTTTGCACCGATTATATTTAATGTAAAATAGGCATGAGGCAGTCCAGCATGTCCTTAATTTACTGTGAAGCCTCTCCGAATCAAAAATTTGTCATGCTAAAGCCCCTGTCACACTTGTCTGAATCTATAATTCCGTTCATAAACCGATCTGAAATATTATTAATTCGGACACATTCGGAGAGAAATGTAAAAAGAACAGCCAGAAATGAAAATACACCGATCATAATCCGGTCTTATTCCGGATCTTATACGTTGCTATTCCGATTGCAATCCGTCTATATTCAGAACCTCTCCGATCATCACCGGACATGCCAAACTTTGTCGTCCCTGGATCTCCCTCTGAACCGGAATGCGGTATATCATCGGATAAAGTGACATCAAAGTCGGTGCGTCCGTTTTTTGATCGGCATTACAATGGTGTGGGTTCGGAATGAACTCTGAATACTTACGGTTATCGATCGGAATCGGAGGCCTGTTCCGTACTCTTCCGTACCTATTCTGCATTGCAACGAATGAGTACAGTGTGTATTCCGTGCATTCCGTGCATATTCCGTGTGTATACCGGATACCGTCCGTATTGAGGTTGCGGGGACAATTCGGAGAAATTATTAAACAGGTTCAATAATTTCTCCGAGTTCCTCAGTGCATCACCGAACGTACACGAGTATATAGCGTTGGAAAACCGAGGGAAATCCGTTTGAGTTCAGTTCAAACCGATTAAACACCGAATCCACAATGTTTTACTCGGAACATGAACGGAGTGACGATTCGGACGAGTGTGACAGGGGCTTAAACTTGTAATACTAGGCCTAGAAATGGAGTATCTCAAGCAAAATTCAATCGCTCAACATTAGCAGTTGGAGCCACAAATTAGATTTAGAGAATTTGGACCTGCGACTGGTTGTTGTGACACTTTTTAACAGGATAAGTTATTCCAACAAAACGCATTAACGTGAGGCGTGCATGCACAGTAACATTACTCGATAGTACTCATTAGCCATAGGCCTTTTTCCAAATAATTGTTAGACTTAGTAATACACGAATATGGCCAAATATCCTTCATCATTATAGCATTTAGATCACCTTTTAGCTTGAAAAAAAAACAGCTCATTTCTAACTATCCAGCCAACCAGAAAGTTTCGGAAGTTGAAATAGTTTAATGTTTGACTACTATGTATCAGGGAACCAGAGACGGTTCCGTAATGATAGCAGTTGAAAATTGCGTCTTGGTTGCCATAAACGACAGGCTACCACTGTGTTTTAAATTGTTGGTGGTATGGGTAATCTTCTTTTTTTTTTTACTATTTTTGTAATTTGTTTTTCATCTGCTAGAGTTGCTAGATGAAAAGAAATTGAAGGACTCTTTGGAGGAATTCTCCAACCCATATTGACGCTTTCTCTGGTAAGAACACAACAATGGACAAAAGATATTTTGTGTTGACAGCTTCATTTTGTTTTGTTTCTTTAACCCTAACTCCCTAGGGGGTGTGCAAAATCGTAGTGAAATTGGAGAATTCAGGACTGTTAGGGACTTCCATAAACTAAACATCACTTTTGCATTTCCTCATGAGAACGTTATTAAACATATTATAATTTAAATGAACTAAAAAAAAAATAGCAAATAAAATGCACGAAAAAGATGCAGTGCTTTCTGTACCTTCTTCAATGTTAGAAAGCTGCAAGAATCTCAAATATCCATATTAATCAAATATTCAAGCTGAAACAATAATTTGTTATATATTCAGCCGTGTGGTTGCAAAGGCCGATTTCTAAAGGTTACGCAATACTTTATTTTGAATAAAACAACATTCACACAGACATGTTCACAATGGCAGGCGTTTTTAAAAATTGTATCTTCATGCAACTCAGGGTTTGTTTCCCTTATAATGATCCAAAATATGTGCTAAAAATTGTTTTGAGATGTTCAGTATTTTTCTTTGAAATTGGAAAAATAGGCCTGGTTACGTGCATTTTTAAAAGTTGTAACACTGGAATATCTGTTAATCTTTTCAAGCCTCACGAATATTAATAATAAATAAGAATTTGCAGAAAAGCCTTCTTCATGAATTATTAATTGTTAAATATCACCCATTTTGCCAGCTTCCATTGGTCGATACTGAGACCCAAGGGAAGTCACGCCGAGTGACGCTAATCACTTCAGCCCAGCCCCCCCCCCCCCCCAGGTTGTCATTTTGTTTTTTTATTCATTCCCCCCCCCCCTACGATTTGACCTTGGTGATATGTATGTGGCCCTTTTTTCGAGTAGTATAATAGGGGTGTAAGTGGCACCACCAACGTCAATAGTCTGTGCCCCCCCCCCCCCCCAATTTTTTTTTTTTTTTTTGAAGAAAAAAAAATTGAAAGCCCCCCCCCCCCCCCAGGGCCAAATCCTGGGTTGCCCCACCGGTTGCGGCATCGATGACGGCGATTTTTTTCACTGACATGAAGTTTAGAATTTCTTCTTCTGTTATAACATTTCAATCATACTGAGCATATTTTCTGAGAAACTCAACATTCAAAAGGCCATGTTTTTGGGGGGTGCATGATTTTCACTGCTCTGTTATAGCGTCCAAGTACGTAATTGGATTAACTTTGTTTAACAATGGCGACGTTTAGGCCTTAGCAACCACACATCTGTAATGCTGTTCAATTAGAATGAGCTCTTCACAAGTAAAAGAAATACAGTTTAAGACAAAATGATTACATAACATGTTTTTTAACGTTGCTTTTATGATAGTTTGTATATTTCAAATTGATTGTACATTTGCCTTTATTATTTTATTAGGATCTTTGATAAGCGGAGTCATTCAGCACTGCATTTGGCACCCCCGGACCTGAAGCAATTTTCTGTAGGTCTCTCTCAAAGATGGCTATCTAAGTAGGAGAACTCCAACTGCGTATTTTATGCAATAAAGCACTCATTGTGCAGTGTTAAAAATGTTCCAAACACGCGTGCTTGTTGCTCGAAACGTGTTCAAAATATGACACAGCCAATGCGCGTAATGCAAGTTGACGCTCAAAATGATGATGCACGTGGCTGGTCTGTAGTAAATGACGTCATTTGAGAGAGACCTATACAAGGATTATAGCCTGAAATTAATGTTATTGTAGAACTCTCATTATACTACAAGAGAGCCAATTTATTGAACTCCCCTCATAAGTACGTGTCAGAGGTTTGGAATCTCAGTTGCTTTTAATGTGTAAAGAAAATAATATTTCCCACTTTAACAGAGCTAAAGATTCAATGAAGATTTTCAGTGAAAGTGTTGACTGTTGACACATTTGCTTTGAAAAAAATTAGGCTACGTACTGGTACTAAATAAAAATCTATCCGACTTATTCTTAGCCATCAGAGAGATAAGAATTTTAAAGAATGTATCATTTCTTTGTATCCAAATGTGTGGCTAATTAATGAGTTTTATTCAAAGTCAGACATGAATGCTTTACTTTGCAATAACACAACTTTTGTTTTTGTGCTGCCATTCTAGGTGTTCCTGAAGAGAAAGTAAGTGCTCCTTTCCCAGAAAACGATTCAATCAGAACTCCAACCAAGAGAAAGATGACAGAGGGAGAAAAAATAACATTCGCAAAAGAGGAGCATAAGCAGCACACTCATATACAAAATATTGTATAGTACTTATGAAACCAAGACAAAATGCCATGGGTGAAAACAATGTAATTTTAACAGGTAAGTTGTCCTGGCTTGACAAAGAGCGTCTGGAAGAGTTTTGGTTGCATCCATCTCGGCTGCGTCCGCCCAATGAGGAGGATGATCCATGTGCTCGTGTTCGATGTGTGTTGTGCGTTTACCAGTTGCGTATCCAGTAAGCATACTCTGTAAATAAATGTGTGCATATTTATTTCTCTGGACACTTGACGGACATAGAGAGCACACAGCAGTTTTAGGAGTAGAAAAAAAATCAAGTCGCAATCAAATTTGGATTAATTTAGGCGCATAGTACACATTTTACGAAATAAACATTTGCAACGTGCTTGCCAAAACCTCCGAAGCATGCATTTATTACCTAATAATATAAAATTGATTTTCACGCAACACAGTGCGCGCTGCGCCTTTACACATGCCGCTTTAATTTTCGGCCTAATTATGGTTTATGGCTAGTTTTTACAATACAGTTCACCACCAAGAGCTTGCCCGGCAAAGACCATTTTTACAGTGCATCCCAGGAAGTATGACTACCTGCACAATTGACATAGTATTGTTTAGTCCAGTCATCCCCCCCCCCCCAAAAAAAAAAAAAAAAATTAAAGGTGTCATGACCTTTAATTTTCAGTTGCTTTATCTTTACTGCATTTCGTCGTTCGTATGATTCTTCCGTAGCAAAATCACACGGGAATGTCCAATTCTTGCAGCCACTTTGGCTGTTTCTTCATCAAGCTCGATTGATCAGACCGGTGGGACCATGAGGGGGCTTGAAGATTGGGCAGGCTTGCAGAATATGTTCCATTGTCTGTGGTAACCCACAAGGGCAGCTGTCGTCATCACAAGCCCCAATTCGGTGGAGGAAGGAGCGAGTCTTTCCCCACCCTGTGCGGATGCGGTTCAGCCTTACCCAGACTTGCGCTCGAGGTGGAGCCCTACAGGCTTGGCTGAAGGCTCTTTGATGAACTCATGCAGTGTGGTGTTAGCCCTCTACCATTTATCCTTCCATCTCTCATTCATCCAGAAGGGGGATAGTGGGACTCTGCTGCTGAGATCTTTGGCACAGATAGCAAAGTGTCGAGGCGGGGCAATCATCGGCAATAATTGGCACCAGGCTACTCAGTATGTCAGCTTTCTCTGCTGCTTTGAGGACGAGATGGTCACGCCGGATATGTGTGAGGATACATGCAGTGATCGGCAGCATAACTGTGGGTGTAGGTGTCATGCAGTCTGAGATGAGGCGCAGGGCGTCATTGATCACAGCGTCAATCCTTTTGGTGTGGCAGCTATGAGACCAGGCTGGAGAGCAGCGTACTCTGCTGTGGAATACACCCAGGGCAGTAGATGAGGTGCAAAGCGTTGTGAAATCAGCACCCCAGTTGGTGCCAGCAAGCTTCTTTGACCCGCTTCGATGTCTTTTCAGCTACCTTTTTTAGGTGTGGGCCGAAGGTGAGGCTTCGATCAAGCGAGACCCCTAGGTAGACTGGCTCAGGGTCAAACTTCAGTTTCGTGCCATTCAGTGTGACGGTCAGCTTCTTCCTCGCTAGTCTGATGGCAAGCTGAGCAGACAGTTTTTGATTCACTCTGTTTCTGGTGCCATTGTTGGAAGTAGCCACATTAGGGCTGCGAGGTCCGTGTTGAGGGTGCTTTGGATTGCCTAAAATGACTTGTCGGGATAGCCAAGGGCACTATCATCCGCATAGATATACTGATCAGATACAGTACGCGGAAAGTCGGCTGTGTAGGTATTGAACAGTATGGGTGTCCAGACAGAGCCGTGCGCAAGCCATCTCGGAGCCGACGCCTCCTACTCCGGTCACCACTAGATGTTTCCACAAAGAAGGAGCGATTCTGATCATAATGATCATGATGAACTTGACATGAGTAGCTTGATGTCGAGGCCACGGTGCCATACGGTGTTGTACGCGGCTGTGAGGTCGACGAATATAGCCCCAAACTGTTATTTCCTCTGGAATGCGGCTTCAATGTCGTTGACGAGGCGCAGTAACTGGTCTGTGGTGGATCTACCTTTGCGGAAACCAGCCTGAGCATGTGGTAGATGAAGTTCAACAATGCTACTGATGCGGGCTAGCAATCCTTTCCAACAGTTTAAAGGCATGCAAAGGAGTGAGATAAGGGCGGTAGCTTTTTGGATCACAGCAGGTTTCTTTGGTTTTAAGATAGCAGTGACTTTAGCCTGCCGCCATATAGCAGGGATGGATAAGAACACACGAAGCCACTCGGTCGCCTGCGGACCCATGTTGGTCAGAATCTCTGAGTGTACCATGCTTTGCCATTCTTCAAGCAGGAGATTGCGTCGAGGAGCTGCTTCGTTGCGATAGGCCCAGATAGTCCGCTGGTGGCTAGTTGGTTCTTGATGGATTCCCTTATCTCTGCATTCACTTTGTGGTTGTGAGCTTTCGCCTCCTTGCCATGGTCTTTCCACTTCTCAATGTTTCACTAGTGTGGTCGCGATGGAGTTAGCAGAGACAGGGCAAGGCTTTGCTTTACTGCTACGTCCGGTAAGGCGGTTGATGGTAGCCCAGCCCTTGCGGCTAGAGTGGTTGAAATCAATGTTGTTTATAAATTTCTGTCCACCTCTCAGGTTTTTTTTTCTCGCCGAGGACATTTATGAGCAACCTGCTCTATTCGGCCTTCTCACTCGCTCTGGCATCATTTGTTATCTTTCAGGGCTGCGTTGCATTCGGCATCCCAGCATGGGATCGTATTGGCCACGCCTGCCACGAGGGATGGATGACTTTGCGGCGACGGAGAGCATTGTGGTGAATGCCGTGTATGCCTCGGATGAGTTCCCTGTTGGACTGGGGAGGTCTTGGGAGAGGGAGCCAGTGAGGTGACGCAAACTTGGTCCAGTCTGCCTTTCTGAAGTTCCACCTCTTCTTGTTGAGGCTTGTGATCTGTTGTTGCCAATTATGATGGGGCAGTGACCAGAACGGGGGGAACCTGTTGAGGACTATGCGTGCACAGTTTGGTGTGATATCAGAGGATACAAAGCTCAAGTCTGGGTTGGACCACTTCTTGTGTCGACTGGAAAAGAATGTGGGGTTATCTTTTGCATCGTAGAGCAGGTGAAGGTCTTGTGTCTCAGCCCAACGAGCAACGGCTTTCTCATCCAGGTTTTATGCCAGGGTAACCTCAATTTGTGTGACGGCTATTGAAAATCTCCGCATACGATGGAAGGGGCTGTTGCTGTTGGCAGGTTTCGTTGGCTGACTGTCACAGGTGGGGGTTTGCAAGGGTTTGCTATCTTATAATCTATATAATTATCAGAGCGAGAGTGCTGACTTTGATGTACAGAGCAATATCTGCTAGGCGCATACATATTTGTACTCGAACCTATGGAAAACTCACAAATTTTGTTCGGCTTTTGTTCAGCTATAGAAAGGCTTGTGTACGGCTATTTGCATATTATGTTTGTGTTCCTGCGTGGTATTGATGATGCCGATACGCTCAAAAACGAAATGCACAATCAGGAAAGGAGCGTTTCATATTGCTCTGCATAACGACGCAAATGCTGTTTGTTTGTTTTTTACCTTTATGGCGTGTAAGTTGTTAACGTTTGTTGTTTTTACGCATCGCATTTGAGTACACATTCACAATTCACTCCATCAAACTTAATTGTGTTCTAAAAACACACACGCGTACAGGAAGGATTCAACGTATCTCTTAGGCTCGACTCAAAGTCGGAACTGCTTTATGTTGGTATCTGAAAACATGTACAAACAAAATAATAAAATAATCACAAAACCACTTAGTTTACATCCTTCCAGAAGCGGGACAATTAAGTTACACTTAAATATGCGTTCAACTTCAATGCAATCTAACATTGCGCGAACACACACGTGTATAATGAGTGCAGAGTCTTTGCATACATGTGATTCAAAATTTACCAACTCGCATGAAAATAATTTGTATGGGCACTTTTTAACGTTTTGATCCAGATTCAAAGCATGAGGGCTTGTGTGGACCGTCTGCGCTAAACGTGCTTTTATGCACAGACCGAGTGCAATCAAGACTTGGGCCATATCTACATATCTCCGTGTGTAAGAATGAGTTTAGCGCTCTAGTGAATAAATATATCTCCATAGCTCTATGGTATTAAATAAAGCTTCATGTATTCAATATAGCCCTGTGGTATGTAATATAGCTCTATGATAATTAATATAGTTCTGTGTGTATTCTTTCGGATTGTCCCTTTTTTTTCCACATTCAAATAATTTATGTGCTTTTACCCAAGAAAATGCATTTGTTGGTTAAAATCCTCAGTTATTATTTCCAAAAGCATGTGGCCATACCGGCGATTCCCAAATACAGTGTGCAACCTAGACGAAGCCGCGGAGAGTCCACTCTTTCACAATGCATTGTGGTACAAATATAAGATCCTGATCTTTATTTGTGTACAGGTTGGTTTTTTTCCCCCATGGGGACCGAGTTGACTCGGACTGAGTGGTTCGGTACAGAGTTGACTGGTTCTTTGCTTTATAATGAGTGCGTTTGATTACTTCCCCAAGCTTACTCGCGCTTGGCTCATCGCGGGATGACAGATAGCGCAGTGGAGCTAACTAAACGAACGGTTTCGGGTAACGTTTCGTGCAAGAAGAGCTGGAAAGTTTAACTTTGACATGACACACCAGCATCCGAATCAACTATCTAGAGCTAGGTCTAGGGTCCACGCCCATTGAATACGGGGAACATGCTGACAATATGAGACCCGGAGCCGTAGCTCTTGAAGCCCGTTTCGGACACGGCCTCAGGGCGCCTGGGACCGCCGGACGTCACGTTGGCAGCCATGTTTATTGCTTGGCCTTATGGGAGGGATACTTACCCAAGTAACAGGCTCGGCGAGTCGGTTACTTGGCCCAGGCTCGATTTAAGCACGAGAAGTCCCGGACGTGAGAGTAAATCGAACGCTGTCGCACTTGCATGAGTAAGCGTGGGGGAAGTAATCAAACGCACTCGTTGGGACTAATGTTAGCAGAGAACTCGATTAGAGTAGAGAGTTGACCTGCACCCTTTTATTTCTCAACCGTAAACTTCAAAACTTGACTCTCCAAAGCAACTTCTTGGTATTGGCACTGTACTGGAGATCGCCCGTGTTGGATAACTCAGTTGCTAGTACACTGGGAATCGATCCTTATTAAAATAAGGATCGGTTTCAATTTATGTTGTGCCTGTTGCGGTACTCGACCTCTATTTGTTCCCTAATGGCTTGTCCTTTTGCTGATCCGGCTCCTTCAATGTGACGCTCACAATCTGGTTCAATGTTGTCCATGGGTTCCTCAGGCATCAATCCACGCAACATCTCCAGAATTCGTCGCTTCATCGACCAGGAAAGCTGTACTCGTGCTATGAGGGCCTTGATTCTGTCTAGACTAGACTATGCCAACTCTCTTTTGGCCGGTTGCAGCAGCTCTGACATCTCAAGACTGCAGCGTCTACAGAACAGGGCTGCCTCGTATCATTTTCCAAGTTCCTCGTCGACATCCCTGTACTCCACTATTGCGATCTCTTCACTGGCTTCCGATCGGACAACGCATTATTTTCAAAATCCTGTTATATG